CCATAATATCCTATTAGAGCGATTAGAACATGCTGTAGGTATTACAGGTACTGTGCTGCAGTGGTTTGTATCATATCTATCTAATAGACTCCAGTTTGTTCATGTAAATGGAGAGTCCTCTTCACACACTGAGGTTAATTATGGAGTTCCACAGGGTTCAGTGCTAGGACCAATTCTGTTTACATTATACATGCTTCCCTTAGGCATTATCATTAGAAGACATAGCATACATTTACACTGCTATGCTGATGACACCCAGCTCTATCTGTCCATGAAGCCAGATAACACACACCAATGAGTTAAACTGCAGGAATGTCTTAAAGACATAAAGACCTGGATGGCCGCTAACTTTCTGCTTCTTAATTCAGATCAAACTGAGGTTATTGTACTCGGCCCTGAAAATCTTAGAAATATGGTATCTAAGCAGATTCTTACTCTGGATGGCATTACCTTGGCCTCCAGTAACGCTGTGAGGAACCTTGGAGTCATTTTTGACCAGGACATGTCCTTCAACGCACATATTAAACAAATATGTAAGACTGCTTTCTTCCATTTGTGCAACATCTCTAAAGTTAGAAATATCCTGTCTCAGAGTGACGCTGAAAAACTAGTTCATGCATTTATTACTTCCAGGCTGGACGACTGTAATTCATTATTATCAGGAAGTCCTAAAAACTCCCTGAAAAGCCTTCAGCTGATCCAAAATGCTGCAGCAAGAGTCCTGACAGGGGCTAGAAAGAGAGAGCAGATTTCTCCTGTTTTGGCTTCCTGTTAAATCCAGAATTCAAAATCCTGCTGCTCACATACAAGGTCTTAAATAATCAGGCCCCATCTTATCTTAATGACCTTGTAGTACCATATCACCCTATTAGAGCACTTCGCTCTCGCTCTGCAGGCCTACTTGTTGTTCCTAGAGTATTTAAAAGTAGAATGGGAGGCAGAGCCTTCAGTTTTCAGGCCCCTCTTCTGTGGACCCAGCCTCCAGTTTGGATTCAGGAGACAGACACTATCTCTACTTTCAAGATTAGGCTTCAAACTTTTCTTTTTGCTTAAGCATATAGTTAGGGCTGGACCAGGTGACCCTGAATCCTCCCTTAGTTATGCTGCAATAGACGTAGGCTGCCGGGGGATTCCCATGATGCATTGAGTTTTTCCTTTCCAGTCACCTTTCTCACTCACTATGTATTAACAGACCTCTCTGCACTGAATCATGCTTGTTATTAATCTCTGTCCGTCTTCCACAGCATGTCTTTATTAGGGATGGGTATCGTTTAGATTTTATCCGATACCAGTACCAAACCGGTACTTTTGAAACGGTGCCGGTGCTTAAAGAATGGAGAACACACACTTTGTCCAAAAACCTCTCGTGTTTAGCTGTTTTTTTGTAAAAAGGTAACAATGTTAGCCTTTTCTGCAGCTATGGGGCATATATGGTATCACTCTTGGCTGGAAGCAGTGCTTAAACAATGGAAAAAAACACAAACTTTGTCCAAAAACCTCTCATGTTTAGCTGTTTTCCACTTTTTCTTTGGTCATTTCAGCCTTTTTGGCCAGGGTGAAGGGAGCATCTGCCATCAAACAAGAAGACAGCCGCATGTAGCTATGATGATGTTTGCTAGTTTACCTTACATGCATTAATGTAATAACGTGGTACGTAAATTACACACGAACAACATGAAGCTACTCACGCAGAGAAGAACGGCTGCTGCTGCATCATCATCCTCATCATTTCTGCTACACTGGCAGGGCTAGGGGCCAGGACTCTCCTCTTCGGGTTCTTGGGGGATGTTGCTAACTCCGGGTCGATAACAGGCACCACATCCGCAGTAGATGTGCTCGGTGTGAGGTCTGGCAGCAAGCTATCAAATACGGCGCATTTCTCGGCTTTTAACAAAACGCTATGCGTCGCCAGGTGTTTCATCAGATTCGAGGTGTTACCTCCTTTGACAGTACCACAGTATCAGCTTAAAGCACTTGTTGCTGCTGAGTTTGCATCTTTTGCTGTGAAGTACAGCCAGACTTTGACCGCTTCGCCTTTTTTAAATCTGTAGCTCTGCTCTAAAAGAACGTACGTACCTGGGCCCGCCTACTACGCTTGCAAAGGTAAAATGATTGGCTAGAATCCAAAGTGTGTGACATCTCAGGGGGGGAAAAAAGCACCGAAATAAAGCACCGAAATGTGCGCTGTTTTTCGGTCTGGTTACTACTGTTTATGCCAGAACCGGTGCCATACCGGTACCCATCCCTAGTCTTTATCCTGTCTTCCTTCTTTCACCCCAACCGGTCGCAACAGATGGCCCCGCCCTCCCTGAGCCTGGATCTGTTGGAGGTTTCTTCCTGTTAAAAGGGAGTTTTTCCTTCCCACTGTCGCCAAAGTGCTGCTCATAGGGGGTCATATGACTGTTGGGTTTTTCTCTGTATCTATTATTGTAGGGTCTACTGTACAATATAAAGCGCCTTGAGGTGACTGCTGTTGTGATTTGGCGCTATATAAATAAAATTGAACTGAATTGAAAGGCACTGCGGGAATACATCTTTTTTTATCATTTCACATTTCTGTCAGTGTTGCTTTTTCACGAGTCACAACATGTATTACCTTCAGCTTCCTCCCTTAATAAAGCAGAATTATCTGTCAGAGTTTTACTTTTGTTACGGCATACTTACATTCCCCTTGGTTTGAACCCTCCTTTACTACACTTTCACTGTCAGATTAAAAAGTTCACATGCTGAGATGATGACCTCACACAGATACTTCCTGATCAGTGTTCAGTAGCATCCAATCAAAATCCTCAAATTTGACTCAGTAAAGCTGTCGCCTTGTTGGACGGTATGTTAGTACAGCGACCTCACAGCAGACGTGTTATTAGTAACAGCACAATCATGGTCCAGTTCAGGTGAAGCTGAGCAGAGAGCTACCACCTGTCAGTCAAAGAGGCCACGCCCCCAATGATGCAAACTTTAAGCCAGTTTAACCAGTTTTTCTACAGACCAAAGAGTTTGTTTCTTTCTGCTGCCTCTGCTGGACGTTAGAGGAACTGCAGGTTTTATGCTTATAATGAACATAAACATAAATACTCATGTATAAGTGTCATGTGACACAGCAGGAGTCATATCTCAGCTGGTAAAAATAGCTTGTTGAGTCATACACACGATCATATCACGTGTGTGTGTGTGTGTGTGTGTGTGTGTGTGTGTGTCAGTAAACAAGCTGGTCACTGAGCGGACAGCCGGTCTGGAGCAGGACTCTTAGGTAAGAGCACGTTAGTTTCTCAGCCTCGGCTGCTCTGCGTTTACAGACGGTACGATCCACACAGGAACAGGAAGTGTCTTCAGTCAGACCAGCAGCTCTGAGGTGCTGAACATGTGGAGGAGAGCCCTTTGTCTCTCAGACTGAACCATTCCTGTCTCACTTTGTTTAGAGGTTTCAGGTGGTTCAGTCCAAACTGCGCGTTTAAACTTAAAAAAGGTAAATTCCCTCAAAAACGGTTCAGTTTTTAAAAATTTTTTTTTTTACATCTTTCAGACTTGTTGATGTCTTTCTAGAATTTTCCCTCCTGTGTCGTCGCGATGGCGTCATTTCATAAACATCAGTACTTTTATATTTAAAGATCAGACTGGTTTACAACTTAATTGCAGCTTTCATGGTTGAATGATAGCTGATCATTTTTAACAAAGAAGAAACAGACGTGAGCCTTGAGCTCCAGACAAAGAGCTCAGTGTGGATGTACTCTGGGTAGTTTTACTTCAGAGTCTATATTTAAACTGCCGGGTCCTGTTTGAGAGTTTCTGTAAATGCTCTAGACTTCACTTTCCCGCGATGTTCAGCTTCCTTTTTCAGAGATGCTCTTTAACCTTTCAGATGTTGTTATCAGCGTAGAGATGAGCTGAAGAAAGAGGCAAAGAAGAAAACGTGGCTCATTAGTCAGCTTTAGGTTTTTACAGAAAAATTTTCTGGGTAAATCTGTTTAAACTTAAAGCCGGATATGTTCAGATAATGATCCTGGTCTCTTCCTCCTCCTCAGCAGCAGAGATGGGTCCGGAGAGGAAGCTGGACGTCCCGGTCTACGATCTCTCTCTGATCAGAGGGATGTGGGAGGTCCGAGTGAAGAAGCACAGAGAGAGGCAGAAGAAGGAGAAGGAGAGGATCGAGCAGAGCGCCCTCACCAGGTAAGACGCAAAAACCCACAGAACTGATGAAGAACATTTGGCCCGCATTTGTAGTTTTAAGTCTGCCTGCCCACCTTAAACCAGCCAGGTGTCAGGTGTGCTTTTTGTTCTGGACCACGACCGGCTCACAAACAGCTGCAATAGATGAGACAGAACTCTCTGATCAGGTCAAAACATAACTGTCATTCATTAATGTTCATGACGGGCTCTTTACTGAGAGTCTGTGTCAGGACCCAGTCTGCAGGTTTGTGAAGTGCAGTTTGGTTTTTCACCATCTCCAGAGCTCCGCCAGCAGAGTTAGACTTCCTCAGAATTTGATCTTCTAACGCTACGGTAACATATCGAGCAGCCAGTATCTCCAGCGATGCCGTTCTGGTGGAGGTCCCGCCTTTGGTCAAGCTGACATCAGCACCTTTGTGTCCCATAAGTGTTTTTATCCAAATATGCCAGGATTTCCAGGTGATGATGT